ACACACAGGACACACAGAGACACACAGGACACACTAAAACACACAGGACAGACACATTGACACACACAGGACAAACACACCATCGCACACAGGACACACTGAGACACATAGGACAGACACATCGACACACACAGGACACACAGACACACATAGGACACACTGATAGCACAGAGATAGCAAACTGACACACATGCAGGACAGACACACTTGAAACAAACAGGGCAGACACATTAACACAAGCAGGACAGACACATAGACACATATGAAGATACGCTGACACACACACAGGGCAGACAGGCTGACACATAAGACAGAACAGACACACAGGACAGACAGACCGACACAAACAGGACAGACAGTCTGGCACACAGGGCAGAAATACTGACACACAGGGCAGACAGACTGACACAAACAGGACAGACAGACTGACACAAACAGGACAGACAGACTGGCACACAGGGCAGACATACTGACACACATGGCAGACAGACTGACACAAACAGGATAAAAAGATTGACACACAGGGCAGACAGACTGGCACACAGGGCAGATACACTGACACACAGGGCAGACAAACCGGCACAAACAGGGCAGACACACTGACACACAGGGCAGACAGACCGGCACAAACAGGGCAGACACACTGACACACAGGGCAGACAGACTGACACACAAAGCAGACACACTGACACAAACAGGACAAAAAGATCAACACAAAGGGCAGATACACTGACACAAACAGGGCAGACACGACACACACACAGCAGACACACTGTCACACAGAGGACAGACATTCTAGCACACACACGACATACACAAAAAGGACAGAAACCGACACCCTATACAGACACATTGACACAAGACAGCCTCATTTTCTGCCCTTTGAAAAGTTTTGATACGCTAAACTGTACCTCCCAGAGCTTGCTCCATGGTTTCATTGTGCCTTCTTGTGCTCTGCTTCTCCCGGGGTAAGCCCAGTTAAATAAAGGGGTCCCACTGCGCTAGAACAGCTATTGCTCTAGAAGACTGAGCCCTGCCCAGAAGGGCGGCCACCTCACGTGTCTGTGCCCACCCTCGACACACAGAGTTTCTGAAGAGCACAACAGAATGTCATTTACAACCCCCAGTTGTGGGGACCCATGCATTTTTAATGGCAGGCAGGTGTAACGTTATCCCAGCCAACTGTAACAGCAGGGTTGCCTTACAGTCTGTTGTGTAGAGCTGATAGAAGCTGCCAGGGGACATGCAGGGTTCACCCAAAACAGATACCAGCTCTGAGCACGTGCTTTGGGATAATCTATTACATTTACTTTCTTTTTGGCCTGACACTTCTATTTTGTTTCTGTTTATAATCAGGCATTTTTCTGGAACTGCAACCTTTTATTTTATCTGAGTGAATTACCTTACTCCTCACTGCTGCCTCACCACCTCTCCTCACTGCTGCCTCACCACCTCTCCTCACGGCTGCCTCACCACCCCTCCACACTGCCTCACCCCCCCTCCTCACTGCTGCCTCACCACCCCTCCACACTGCTGCCTCATCACCCCTCCACACTGCCTCACCACCCCTCCTCACTGCTGCCTCACCACCCCTCCACACTGCTGCCTCATCACCCCTCCACACTGCCTCACCACCCCTCCTCACTGCTGCCTCATCACCCCTCCACACTGCTGTCTCACCACCC